GCAAACTCGCTCTGAGTGAATGGGATTTTAGTGACTGACCTGCCACTGTGAGAATAAAGTTGGGTATAACCCTTTCACCCCAAGAACGTTTTGCTGTCATTTTCTTTGGTCACATTGAATCCATAGCAAACTTGTCCAGGGCTGAAGCCCATTGGCAAGACACTGTCATTTTGATATTAAACAATCCTAAAAATTAGTGATGAATGGTATGGATAAAGTGAAGGTTCCTGTGGCCAGGATTCTTACCTGGTTGGCTAACTCACTACACACGTGTGGGCAATACATCGTTATTAACTCTACATAAAGAGCTCCACTCAGTGCTCTGGGCAACACGGTAGCATAGCTGCTGCATGGCTGCAAGGCTGCAGGAGAGCAGAGGCTGGAGTGGTGGCAGCGCCAAGGACAGAGAAAGAGAGAGACGGTTGTGCGGGCAGAGAGGCCCAGAGGCAGAGACCAGCTTGCTGTATGCAGACTCGCTCTGAGTGGATGGGATGTTAGTGACTGACCTGCCACCATGGAAATAAAGTTGGGTATAACCCTTTCACCCCAAGAACATTCTACTGTCATTTCTTTGGTCTCATTGAATCCATAGTGAATTTGTCCAGGGCTGAAACCCACTGGCAAGACAAACAGATAACAAAGATCTGGCACATACACACAGTAGAATATTGCTCAGCCATAAAAAAGAATGGAATCTTGCCATTTGTGACAACATAAACAGACCTAGAGGGTATTATGCTAAGTGAAATAAGTCAAACAGAAAAAGACAAATACCATATTATTCCATTTATATGTCTTAGAATTATATCTTAGAATCTAAAAAAATAAAACGAACAAACTAGAATTATACTCATAAATACAGAGAGCAAACTGCTGGTTGCCACAGGGGAAAAGGATATTTGAAACAGGTAAAGAGAATCAAGAGAGAAAAACTCCCAACTACAACATAAATAAGTCTCAGGGATGGAAAGCACAGCATAAGGAACATCATAATATTATAGTAACTTGAATGATAACAGATGGTAACCACACCTATTATGGTAAGCATTTCATAAGGTATATAATTGACAAATCATTATGTTCTACACCTGAAACTAATATAATGCTGCATATCAACTATATTTCATTCAAAAAATTAAAATGAGATATTTTTATATTTTTTCACTCTATATTCAAAACCCTGTATATATTTCACATGTACATATATCTCAACTCAGATACTAAATTTTTCTCAGAAATACTTGATCTGTATTTATATTTTATACAAACATCCACTTGAAAAAGCAGTTCACATACCCAAGTTGCTTCAAACATGATTAAAGGTTTTCAATAACAGAATTAATCAGTTTTTACACTGAAATTAAAATGAATTAAAATTAAATATTCAGTTCCTTTCTTTCACTAGCCACACTTCAACCACTGAAAAGTCAGATGTGGCTAGTGGATACAATATTAGACAGCACAGTAAGTCAGAAGTTGGTATAGATCTCTCATAAGTTGGTATATTCAGATAAAGGGAATGAGATGAGCACTTATAAGGTGTGCCAATAAATTTAGCACACTGAGGGTTAACAATTAATAGAAAAGTTTCGTTAAAGCTGCTGGAGTGTCACTCATTGTGCATTGAATTGTTAGGGAAGCGAGGATACTCACCTTCTGTTTCATCAGGCAGAACGTCTGCAGCAGCCATGATGGGCAGATAGGTGATTTTTTTTGAAAGTTGGGCTCCAGATCCCTAGACATAATTGCATTAAGTAAATTTGATGATGATAAATACTTATTTTTAGCTATTTCTTTCATTTCCTCATGAAAAAAATAGGATGAATGCCTAACACTTTTTATACATCACTCCTGTGCTCTAAGTAAAGCCTTCAATGCCTTCCCCTCCAAAAAGCAGCAATAACAATAGCTAGCAGGGAGTAGGGCACTGTAGTTAATCAAATGTTTATATACATATTAACTTACTGGTTTCAAATAACCTGATAGGAACTACTGTTCCACTTTTGGCAGATGCAGAAACTAGAGCTCAGAGAAGTGAAATAATTTGTCAACATAAGCAGTTATTTAGTGGCATGCATAGAACTCAAATCCAGATCTTGGGGCCAAAGTCCCTATACAGGCCCACCAGATTTCCCACTGTTTTCCAACTAATATCCACTTTATACCTGGCACGTACCTTGCACACTCTTGTCTTGAGCATACAGACTTGAGCTTGGATTTATGCTTGTCTTTATGTTCTGTTACCACATCTTCATTTTTATCCTACCCACCCTTAAAGCATAGGTTCAAGTACTCCCTCCTTCATCATCACTCTCAGCCTCTAGTTGACCTATTGTTCCCCTTTAAACACAGTAGCTATGTTGTTCTTATCTCTCACTTGAAAAATGCATGCTTCTGTGTAAGGAGCTAAAAAAAGAGTGATAGATAAAAATAGAAGGCCTAATTTTTCCAATTAGACTATAAGTACCTTGAAAACAAAACTACACCAGCCATCCTCAACCCTGGATGACTATTAGAATTGCCTGAGGGAAGAGGGTTAAAAATATATCAAAAGTCTAGAGAGAAGCCTAAGCAAATGTATTTTTAAAAGTTTCCCCCATAACTTAAATGTTCAGTTGGAGGAGTGAATCCCTGCCTGGTGCCTCAACCCAGCTCAGAGTACCTCATTCTGGAGGTCCTCAGTAAAAGGCTGGTTAATAGGTTAATTGAGTTAAGCCTTTCCTGCAACATTTGAATTATCATTACTTCCAAAGGATTATCCAAAATGCATCAAATGTTGCCTCTACAGCCAGGGAATCAGTTACACCAAGCATACCACTGCATGCTCACTGCTTTGTAATTACAAGGAGAACACTTAATGTTTTACAGAGCCCCATGGGGCCTCTTGTTCTAAAGCTCTAAGTAGACTTTTCAGTTAGCTGAGTAGAGCACTAAACTGTGGTGAAGTATTCAAGACTTGTAAAATAATTTAAGGATTATCTGAGTAAATCCATAAACGGCTTGGCCCAGTGGAAGTCATGACTCTGTAGCTACATGCTCTTAGATAAAAGGCTATGGCAATTTTCCTCTGCTTCTACCCAGAGGGGGGAAATACTATTGCAGTTAGTTTTAAAATACCAAATCTGGAACATCTAAAAATGATTAATTCTCAAATTGTCAGCATTGCACCATGGGCAAGAGCACAGAACATGTACCTTGTCTGCTCAGTTCTACAAATGAACTGGGATAAATTAAAATACTGCACCTTCCTTAGCAATTAACAATCTTCTGGTCTGGCTTAATTACTGTCTTCTTTGCAGTTAGAACAGAAGAAAATAAAGGCGTTTTGTGTTCTGTCATTTTCTTGTTTTAATCTCCACAGAAATGGACTCTTCTCTGGGGCAATTGGCTCCGCCACCTTAATTCAGTGTGCCAGGAATGTCAGCTGCATTAACTTGGCTGGCAAGCAATACATCCCACTGTCCTTTTAATGCAAAGAACTAGGAGGTGCTGGCATGGTAATGCCCCACAAACCAGAGGTGATGGGAGAGGACTGTAAGACAGTGACTGGGGGTGGAAGAAGTCCTTGGAGGAAGAACTGCTTAAGGATGAGCAGCACACCGACATAGTATCAGCAGGCAGGATCCCTCTCCATTTAAGTCCCCAGCAGACAGTTATGAGAAACTGAGCCGCTCCTGATGCACTTACCAATTAATAAGTGCATATCTAGTGTCTGAGTTTTGCAAGGGGCAAGCCATCTATTTTGGGAGAAAAGGCAAAAGCATAAAACAAACTTTTGATGTATACATGGAATACTTTAATTCCATTTCTATATGGATAAAAGGCAAACAGAAGAGGGAACAGTACTTCCCTACCTTATAACCTTAGCTGGTCCTTCCAAAGCAGATGGCTGACAGGATTTTGCTGTGGTGTGACTAAGTATCTTAAGACCAGCCCTTTGATACTTGGCAGGACTTGGAAAACAGCTCATAGTCCAGGGATGCAGACAGGCAGTTGCAGCTGTTGATATAAGGGTGAGAGCAAAGCTTCATTTCTGACCCCCAATTTTCTCCCCACTGTCCCTCCACCCAAATCCTCCTAACATTCAATGTCACATTCCACCTCCTCACTTCTCCATGTTAGCAATTTTACTTATTATAGCCACCCAGTTGCTCAAGCCATAAAACTTTGATTCCTCCTGTATTTTTACCAACCACATCCAATCAATCAAGTCTTTTATATTTTAACTTCAAAATATTTCTGCTTCTCCTCATTTTCCTTCTCCCAGCCATAATCATTCATTCCTGGAATAATGAAACAGTCTCCTAACCACTCCATTGATTTCTACCTTTATCCTATTCCAATTCATTCTCCACACAGCAGGAGTCATCTTAAATGTGTATTCGATCATATCATTTCCCTTCTATGACTTCCAACTGCATTTACAATAAAACCTATCATCTTGCTCTGGGCTCTTCTTTCTCATGCAACTGAGTAAATATGGATGAAAAGTATATGACTGGCATCCAACAAATGTACCTAGGACTGAGCCAAGGGGCTTGCTTTGATTTCTCTTTACCTTAGTTTCATTTGCAAAGTAAAATTACTAGGCAAGAGGACCTCAAAGGCCCTATGTGTTTCTATAATTCATTATTTCACTGCTTTTGTAGGCAATACTAACAGGCCCCAAATCTCGAAAATCGACTTCACAGCTAAGAGTTCTAGCCTCTCTCCACTCTCCTCTGTTCTCTGGAATTCAGGAGCACATATCCAGGGAAGTGGCCGAGGGCTGGCCTCCTCTGATCATGTGCCCAGCTGCAGCCTTCCTCAAGGGCCTCTCAACGCTTGGCCATCGGGGACTCCTCCAATTTTGCCCTCTTCACTGTTTCCCTTCTCTGATAAGTGTGAGCCCTCCACCACTTTCCTCTCCCAAGTCCACAAAGACCTGTAGGTCATTTCTCAGACTTGCTTCCTGACTGACTTCTGTCATGTCCCTCTGATGAGACAGCAGATATGCAGGCACCAAGCACTAGTAATGAGAAAAGAGGAAGGAGGGCAGGTGAGGAAAACAAAACAGAGTAAGTACTAACTAAGTACTAGTTAGATGCCAAAATTAGGCATCTAGAATAGGTAAAAGGGCCTATCAGACAACAAGAGAATTTAAAAATATAGCAAATAATTAAGATTATAAACCAACTTAGTCAGAGCACCATAAAATGAGATGGAAAGAAGATATTCTATGAATTCATGAACAATTAATGTCAGCTAAGCTGGGCTGCTGGGGAACACATGCAACAGTGGAAGCACATGGAGTAATCCTCCTTTCCTGACTCAGAAACCTCCCTCTGATTCTCTAATTAACTCAGGTTAATATATTTCTCAGAGCCAGGAAGTGGGAAGAAAATGGATATAATTGATTCATTAGGCTATTGCTCCAGCTGACACAAAATCAGAGTTTCAGAGCACCGCAGCAAAAGCAAAGCTGGGCTTCAGTCCTGATTCTGCAGTCGCCAAAGTGTGTGATCTCAGCCAAACCACTTAACCTCACTGAACTGCACCTCCATGTCTGCAAGTGAAGGATTTAAAATGGACCCACGATTTTAAAAAGAGCAGCTTCAACCTAAGTTTAAAGGAACTCTTTTGCAGAAGTCAATGAGAAAAGCAGATGAAAGCCTGCTTGTTCTGACTTTAGAGGGTCTCACAGTGTCACTCCACACCACCTGGTCACTGACCCACCTCTAATCCCAGCACTCCAGGAACAGAGAAGTCCAGTCGATGATTTCACAGGTGCCTTCTGCACAAAAGCTTCACTGTTTCACAAAATAGTTGTGGGCAAAACTGCAATATTTCCAGAATTTCTCACCTGGCCTTAGTGCATCTCCGTATCAATAGGAGTTTCCACGGGGGCAGAGAGAAGTAGTCCATCTCCTTATCGATAGGTGATTACAAGGGGCATGAAGAGCAAGCACACACCTGGACTGGAAGGTTCAGTGGGGCCTTCACAGCTGGGACATAAGACACACAGCCAAATGGGAGTAGACAGCTTCTTGTATGCAATAAACAGGTTTCTCCCACTTTATTTTTCCCTTCAACTGATTTTGGTTTCAAAGATACATTTGCCCCAGCCTGGGAACACATTTTCCCCAGGAGTTACACCTGGAAGTAGTCAGCAGGACCTCTGAACACAAAATCTGGATTCATGGGTGCAATGCTTGGGAGGGCTGTCCCTAGAGATGGTGGGGAGATACCTGGAAACCCACCTGTGGATGGTGGGGAGGCCCCAGTGGCTGCTGCAGGGGGTGACCACCCTGTGGATGGTGCAACTTTACCCAGGAACCTCCCACCTGTGGGGCTTCCACTCAGGGAGCCCATAGTGGGGAATTGGTCTAGGGTAAAACACCTCCTAGATGGGTGGGCCTTCCCCATAACTGGGGAAGGGTAGAGATACCAGAAACTTTGTAACTAGCCCTCCGTGAGATAGAAGACTGCTTAGAGGCCCTGAGTGGCCATGTGGCAGCTGGGATTGTGGGATTTTTTGTTTCTCAAGATATTGGAAAGATTTATTGAGGAGAGAGACAAACTCCAGCATTGCCTGGATGAGCTGGACAATGACCTACGGGAAGCCCATAAGAAAGAGAGACAATTATTGAGAAGATCATGCTCCGAAAGATATGTTAGCAGTGAGGGAGGAGGCAGCCAGAGAATCTGTGT